CATCGCCTATCGATCGAGTGATAGTTGCCAGATCAGTTATATTACGATGGAGCGCTTTTCGAGTTTTAATGGATTTTTTACCTGCAGTTCAACCGGTTTTACAAGCAGCACATTTTCAATACGGATTCCAAAAGCACCGTCTTCATAGTAACCCGGCTCTAAAGATACAAAAAAAAAAAAAAAAAAAAACGGCAACATTATCGATCAAAGGCACTCAATGTCATAAACTCAAGAACTGTTCAGGCATGGGAATTGATACTAGAAAATTATGCGGCTTTTCAAGGTTTTTTTTTGACAATCTGTAAGAACTCTGAAGGGTAAATGCCACCATATCAAATTCATCGGCCTGATCCTAAATTTTCACAAGAGTTGCGTTTAGAAATATTTAGTGACTGAACAGGAGAATATACATTTTAAGCAATAAAATTAAAGGCCTACCGTCAGTAACCATCATGCCGGCTTCTAGAGGGGCTTCATTCTCTCTGCTCCGGAATCCGATCCCCTGTGGACCTAGACATGGTAACATCAAAGCATAAAGATGCATTAATCCTGCCAGGTGGAGATTCAATTATTTTCGCGACCTGGAAATAGAACCTTTGTTTTGCAGGGTAAACTTTAAATTAGGCTTTGTCTAATCATATCCTTTGTAGGCTTAGACCTCTTGGTAATAGGCTTATGGGGATGTGCGAATTATCACAACTGGATTGACTAAAACGGCGCTGCATTTATGGTAGAGTTACTACAATGGGGTTGCATAATTTCTGGATTTAGGGGGTGGAAAATTCTGCCCAGTAAGGATTTAAAATTAGGAAGATTCGCGGTTAAAGAGTTGCTACCGTAATAGCAAAAATGACTAAGCTGGGGTCTGTAATTGGCCCAAAAATAGACTATAATGGGGTGTGGGTTCTAAAAGACCAGCGGCACATACCGAGCAAAAATTGAACCAAGGAGCTCCCTAAGGCTACAACAGTGGCACGCATGCACGCACACAGGCACATGCGTCTCCAGTCTGCACAAGTTCACATTCTTCATTGGCACACGCTCTGCTTGAACGTTCGCATGCTTACAGGCGCCGCATGTGCAACATACCTTCATGTACATTTAAAAACGAGCCAATCCCATGCCCTGTACCATGCAGGTAATCCAATCCAGCGTCCCACAAGGACATGCGGGCTAAAGTATCTAGTCTATGACCTGAAATAAGCAAGGCAGAAAAAAAATTAACTAGCGATCTACAAATTCCCTAGTGAAATGGTTAAAGGAGCGTGCAACAACTTTAAGAGTAACACCCCCAGAAAAATTGCATTAAAATAGATAGCCCGTCTGCTAAACACTACAGAAATATTGACTTTGGTACTGTTTTGCGAGCACAATACCTGTAGTTTTGTTGGGAAAGACGGCTCTTGCCAATGCAATGTGTCCCTTCAGAACACGAGTAAAACATTCCTTAAGATAAAAAGAAGCATAACTGTTGGGTATTTATTATGGAAGTATTTTATCACTGTGCCAAATGATTAATCTTAAACTTGTTCGGAAGAATTCCAGTTTAATCAGACACCAAAAACATTGTCCATTCCAGATGGGCTTGGGTTTCAGTATTCTGACACTGCCAGTAGTGGTAGCATTAGATTTATATTTTATTTCGTTAACAAGGGTTCTGATTAAAAAAAT